AAGCCACACAGTAATGTGCACGAAAGCCTGCGTAGCAAGCGTTTCCGTGCGGTTTGGGAGCAAAGAACGAGGAACGAGAGTCAAAGACCGCGCGAAAAATGGCGCATTTTTTGACTCTCGTTCTATTTCTTGCGCGGTCAAAGCCGAAAACCCCGTTCCTCGGTCTTTCTTTGCCCCGAAACTAAATGGAACGCTTGCTACGCAGGCTATGTGCACGCTAAAGGGTACTGAGTCTATGCTTTTCTGTTATAGACGAAATACAAACGAAGGCATTTGTCAACTTTTAATTTTGTTTTACTCATTGCAGTTTTAGCTCTACTAGCTATACTCACTATACAGCATGGCATTACCGTAGCATCCTCTACAAAAATATAGAAAACTGAAAGAGAACCGCCCTAACTACTCTAAATCCCGCGATTGTCTTTCCATGGAGACGGTAACTCTTGAGAACAAAGCTGGCGTTTCTTGTAGGTAAGGCAGCTTGGTAGGAGTTAACCGCGGCGTTGCACGTGATTAAGCTCACGGGCCAGCTGACAGAGAACACAAAGCGGACAACACTCAACCGCACAATAATCGTCAAAAAGGGAGCCCTGCAAATGGATGAAATGAAGTCAGTCATGGGTGAATTATCCTGTTTTTGGTATTGAAATAATGATTATATGAAAATCATATACAGGAAATGTGGGGTGAAGAACTACACGAAAGAATTAAGACAAAATAAATAAATAATACAAGAATTTGTATGGTGCCATTTCCGTGAGCTCAATGACGCTTTACAATAATCGTAATTCTAAAAAAATAAAAAAATAAAAAAAATAAAATAAAATAAAATAAATAAAAATATTTGAGTTATTAAAGAAAACATATAACATTTGTAGAAAAAAATTTCTAAAAAATAAGATACAATCGACTTGCTAAGATTAACTAAGGAAAATATATGCAATAAAAGAAAAAAGGGTAGTCAACTAACTAATAAAAGCCTCTCTAAAAAGTAGTGTTTTAATCTTATTCTTTAAAAGATAATCGCAGTTATAGACGCAACTGTGGCAGTTTCGAAAAGCAACTTTTTGGTATTGCTTCTGTATTTTCTTATAGAGAACTCTATTATTGAGCTATTTTGAAAAAATAGCTCATATGTCAGTGGTGTGAGCGTATGTATCTTTGTGGCTTTGTATCTTTGTAACTTTGTAACTTTGTAACTTTGTATCTTTGTAACTTTGTATGTTCGGATGTTTGTTGCAAGAGCCAATAAGGTTGAAGGTACTATGAGTTGATGCTAAGGAACCAATGAGATCTTGGCATCTACTTAAAAATCACAATGCTAAAGGTCGAACAAGGGCACTTTAAGACCGCCATCTTGATTCTTTAATTCTTGATTCTTCATGATTCAAACGCTGTGTACAGTGATGCAGCTGTTTAAGGGTTCATATTTTAGTGTGGATGCTACTTCAAGACATTTCTGACCGAATTCGGCTATCGCGAACGGTACCACGCGCGTATTTATGAGTTGTGTTTCACCTGCTTCAAGGTAGAGTATAAACGATCATATATTTTCCAAGCTCTTCCAGTGAAGCAATAATTGATATTTAGATATGGACTTTAATTCGAAAGTATGCGGCCTATAAAATGTGGTTTTAGAAGTTTGAAAAGCAGCTTATTTTTTTAAAAGCTGTACCGAGTATTGTTAATCCTGTAAACAAGCTGTAGAAATATTATTCTCTCGCTTACAAAGTTCAACAGACCTTTTTCGTTCCGGCAAAACAACAACAAAAAGGAGTAATAAGTGAACAACATGATACATCCTTCCTGTATACTAAGCATTATAGTTATTGAAACGTATTTTATTTAGTAAAGATGCGTATAAACTTAAGTAGAAACAGTAGCGTTAGGGAATAATATTGGAAGAAGCTAGTTGACACAATAATTAGGTACTGCTTTATTGAGTGGAGTAACATGATATGAGCAGAAATATATTTCGGCAGTTTGATAATTTTCTTGGAAGTTAATAAATGTTAGGCTATCAACCTTGACGTTGCATGAAACATAATTTAATCGCAGATGTTGTAATAAGGCCGAGGTGATTTCTTAAAATCGCTTGAGAAAATTTTGTAGTAAACAATTTGCGTTTTTTTAAAGTACGAATTGTAAAAGGGCCAAAGACCAACATCTTCACATGCAAATCGTGTGCATGAGTTATTTTTATAATTCTGTTTACTCGATTACTGTGTGATAACTCGAATTCCCTCACGTACGAACCACGGAAGGGGGCAAAGTCCAACACTTTCACGTGCCATCTGTGTGACTGTACATCTCATGCAGATTGGCTTTTCACAATAGTAATAGTGACTTGAACGTATAAAGACCTGTTTCGTTTAGTAACCAATGCCCTAAAAAAGGCTCTTGTCTTTTAAGAAGCAATAGCTTTTAAAACATGAAGAAATAAGTTGTCGGAGTTAAAGACTGTCTCACAAATGTTAATAAATGTTAGGTTATCAACCTTGACATTGCATGAAACATAATTTAATTGCAGATGTTGTAATGAAGCCGAGGTGATTTCTTAAAATCGCTTGAGAAAATTTTGTAGTAAACAATTTGCCTTTTTTTAACGTACGAATTGTAAAAGGGCCAAAGACCAACATCTTCACGTGCAAATTGTGTGCAAGAGTTATTTTTATAATTCTGTTTACTAGTTTATTGTGTGATAACTCGAATTCCCTCACGTACGAACCACGAAAGGGGACAAAGTCCAACACTTTCACGTGCCAGCTGGGTGACTGTACATCTCATGCAGATTGGCTTTTCACAATGATAAATAGTAACTTGGACGTATGAAGACCTGTTTCGTTTTGTAACCAATGCCTTAAAAAAGGCTCTTGCCTTTTAAGAAGCAATAGCTTTTAAAACATGAAGAAATAAGTTGTCGGAGTTAAAGACTGTTTCACTGAGTAGAATCGCACTTGAAAACCTCGTGAATTATGATGACGCAACCATCTACCTCAATGATAAAAATCCTGGTATTTCGTAACTATTCAGTATTCGATGAGTCACATTTTGGCTTAAGAAACTCCGAGGAAACCTTAGAGTTTTCCTTCTAATCAACGTTTGGTGAGTAGAAATTTATTTTACTTTAGCAATTTGTTTAACTTGCACCAGATGTAACTGGGAAACACAGAGGAAAGTGAATACATAGGTTGAGGATCGACTCAGCTGAGCGTTTCGCGTTTTCATTTATGTAGCGCAATACCCAATTTCGCACAAAAACCAAATCTACATTTAGGATGAAAAAGGTAGATTCATCACTCTTGGTAAGGTTACACCGAAGTATTATAGTTACACTGAAGCATTCAAAATAGCTCATGCACGTTGAACGTGCCTATGTTCTTAATCAGGCCGTTGATATAAAAAATGGTGGAAAACTCAGATATTAGTTTTTTTTTCGTCGTGAAAATTGGCCCTCATTGCCTCCTTTTAAGGTTAAGGTTCTTTTGAAGTCTGAAGGTGCGGTCGAGGCGATAATTAACGATTAAATATATTAAAGAAAAGTTGTATGGCTCCTGGTAAATCAGCCAGTTCCCGTAATGTAGTTTAAAGGGCTCTCACAAAAAAATAATCACATAAGCTTCGAGAACGCTTTTCACTAGAGCGCCTTAAAGCCTAAAACATAAAATTTAGGGCTTATAATAAACGGGTGGTTTCTCAGGTTTGCACTGTGCTTAACAATATGGGTGCCGTAAAAAAGGTCTTCTGCTGTGTTATTTACATGTTCTTTTACCGTTTTGATGGATTGGTTATTTTCATTTTTCATTCAATTCAATTGGTGGCATCTTTTTATTAAATGGCTTGATTTAACTTCAGTCACAAAAGGGGGACAAAGCTCCTTAAAGAACTGAAGCTAGTCCCCTAAAACGAGGTTGTTTTTTTAAGCTCTTAATGCCTGTCGAATACCTGAATATTCTCTTGCACTCTTAGCTTGATCCTGAGTCCCAACAATGCACCTGGGCAACAACAAGGAAAGCAACATCCTTCGCCCATCCTGGACGAAACATCGGTCAGCAGGAAGAAAGGACAACAAAGGCCCATACACACTTGAAACACAAGCAAAATAAAATAAACGTGGCTGGGTTAGCTCAGGTGGAACAGCGTTTGTTTGCAGAGCGGAAAGTCGCGCATTCGATTTCCGGATCCGGACCAGTACTTGGGGTCTGGGGTCTTAAGAAAACTGAGTAAGAAGGTATTGTCTATGGTTTGGAAACGGATAAACCGCTTCACGTGGCTAGGATGACCACGTAAAAATGGCGGAGCCGTATCCATTAGGCGTGATACGTGACTGAATACTGCCCTTAATGAGTAGATTCGAGCAAGAAATACTAACACTTAATAAATAAAGTTATAACTATTCTCATTCGTGTAAAAGCCGCCGCGTGACGATTTAATCGACTAGATTACTGCGTGCTCCCTTTTAAAGCAGTCTATTGGTCCTTTACGGTCCCCAGAGAAATTCCCTAGGCCTTTTATACGCCCTAGCAAACAAATTCGACGTCTTCTCGCAAGTCTACTCTACAACGGACAAGCAAGTTTTCCCACCCTCCTCCCCTTCAGCGGCGCTGGCAAATTTTCTCTATCAGCCCACCCTATGCCTTATGTAAAATTTTTCACCCATAACTTATCCATCAAAAGGCATAAGTTGGCTTTTATGCGAATGTGAATTAGTTACTATTATTAACGCCACATTAACTCATTTGAGTACCGCTTAAAGAATACTTACGAGAGGTACAGTCCTCAAAGCAACCACACAATCCAGAGCTCCAATTCCGTTGTCCCTGTTGCACCACTACTTGTTGTTGACTCAACACTACAGTGGTGTTGCTAGTCTGTTGTGCATACGGTGCCGGTTGTTGAGTTACCACTGGATACTGACCCGGGGGGTACGCTGGTGGATACATCGCTTGCCCTGGGGAATACGGCTGAGCCATGGGTGGTGCAGTGGGTGGGGGATCCATTATTTAGGCTCTGAAAGGAAAAGTTATTTTAAAACAAAAATCAACGCGTCCCGATATAAAAGAAACTTGACGTTTCGATGGCTTCATGTCATCGTTAGGGAGTACTTGATCTTTATTGGAAAAACATTATAACAGTGACATGTATTTCACATAAACTAAACTTTATTATGATGTTATTTTTGAGGAGATCGGAATAAATACCACGTGACAATAACGTCACAATAGTTTTAGCTTTAAATCGAATTTCTGCCTTAAACGGCATTTTCTTTCGAAATGCTTTACGCTACGTATACTTTGGGTGCTTGTATTCTGTTGTAAGGAGTTTCACAAAAATCTATACGAGGACTTTCGAGATATCTTTGAATTTCTACTAAAAGGTATAAATTATGCATGAAATGAAGGCTAGATTTAGTGCAAACAAATTTGTTACCTTTTGGATGCTTCCGAAAAGTTTTTATCACTCATTCGTTTTGCACATGACCTTTATGCATTCTACAACCGACTAAACGTAAGTAGACTTGCGCGATTTCGATCAACCATGACAACATGTGAATCAGTCAAACGCAATGCTGAGCTCTTTTTGTAATTTCTAGGGTTCCTTTCACGAAAACAGCGATTAAACCAAAATTCGTCGATAGATTTTCTTTAAAAACTTTCAGTGATGCAATTGATCAGTGTACTATAAAATCCGTGTCCATTGAAAAGTTTTTAAGTTGTCTAACGTAGGCGCAAAGTTGATAGCCTGCGTATCAGGCGTAGAAAGGGGTAGGGGATAGGGAGCGAAGGGGAAAAGGAGGGCCGGGGATTAGGGAGAGAGGGTAAGGGCGAGGTGCTCGCTTAGATATTCTTCCCAACACTGTTCTTTTTCTAATTGTTTGCAAAAAACAATTAGAAAACAACAAATTAAGCATATACAGGGGCACCCGATGGATCTGTTCCTCAAAATATCTTTTCTTCAGACAAATTTTTTGCTGGCTGGGAGATCTGGAAAAATAATATGTCCTTAAAAGGAAAGTGTTGCTGGGAAATAGACCATTCAGGGTGTCTGAGCTAGCTCGACCTGATGATGATCAGAGGAGATTCTAGATTTGGCATCTAGAATAGCTGCTATTTTCTATTTTCAGAAGCCTCTTTCCCCTCCCCCCTACTGTAGGGGGGAATTTCGCCCTTAGCCCCCCCCCCCCCCACCCCCAATGAGGAGCTGAATTTTGTCCTATGACCACTCCCAAACTGGCCAGTAACGTCTGCACACACTTCTGCTGGGAAACTTCCCGGTAACTCAGGTTGCAGGTTGTAGGTGCACCTTGCTGGCTGGGAACTCTTCCATCAGTCTTGCTGGGAGTGAGCAAAAGATAAATTTTTACCAACAATCTCCCAAAATGCTTAAAACGGCTTCAGAAAGCTTTATTCATGCTTTGTAGTTGTTTTTAGGTCTTTTTCTCAAAATTTCCCGTTGGGTGCCCCTGCATATATTTTTTCCTCATCAGCATACTTGGCGTCAGTGCAAGAAAAGTGATAGTTCTATTTACATTAAGTTAAAGAATTTGAAAAAAAGATGGGTTCCTTTTAAACTTCTTTTCTTTTACATTTACGTCAGAAAAATTTACACCCTTATTTTATATAAGAATGTTGTTTTTCCGGTCCAGGCTGAATATTCTTCTTTTTCTGCCGATTTAACGCTGAAAATTCTTGTATTATCCTTAAATTAAAGCTTAGCAGTAACTGTCCATAAGTATTGCAGGTACCTTTCATCGAACTTTTATTAGCATTGAACATTTGGTTTTACTTAGTGTTGTTTTTTCGTTTTGTAGGCTAGTTTCAGGGACACCCAACGACCGTTTCCTCCTAAATACATTGAAAACACTATTTAGGCTATCCAGAGTACTTTTAGATGTCTAGAAATGCATTTTATGCATTTTAAGCGGCACTATAAAATTGAAATTGTATCTGTTCGGTCATCCTAGGGAAACTTGAGTCTTTTCGAAAGTATTACTTTCCCGAATATTTTAGATTCAATTTGAAGTATTACGAATGTGAGACATTTTCTGATTTCTCACTCTATTGCATTTTTGAGTCCGAAAATTTTAGGTCTCCTTTTCTCTACGAAAAATAGCCTAACTTAGGGAGTGAAATGTGAAAATTAAACTTCAGAAAATCGTAGGGAATTTGTTAGATAAGCTTCCAAAGTTGTACATGAGTGGAACCGTTTCGATCTAGAAATTTTTAGCCGTCCCCAGGCAATAGAAAATTCTAGGCAGTATTTGTTTCTCCGAACAGATTTTTTAAAGAAAACAGTCGTTGGGTGCCCCTGTAGTTTTGCCGTTTAGAGAAAGGAGTAATTTTATTAGTTATACTTAAAACACATGCATAATTCAGTGCATTTTATTAACAGATTTTCAACACAAAAAATTATATCCTTTTGAAAATCTCAGCCTCGGGTTTATTCTTAAAATATTCTTAAATTCACAAATTTCAGCCTCGATATTCATATAGAAAGTGTTCTTATAGTAAAAAAAGAGTGTAATCGATTTTGTCAAAGCGCTCGAGCACAAGCGGGCTAAAGTGTAACATCGCACGCGTAATTTAGTCGTAAGCCAAAAAAGGAACTGAAAAAAATAGAAATTAGGCATTCATTTACTTACTTAAGAGATACGATGATTCTTTTTGAGATTGTTATGTTCAGCAAGCTCTTGAAGTCCCTTGCTTTGGTTCCACAGTCTCTCTTAGCTTGTTGTTCGCCAAGCACACGAAACGACGCTTTGTGTCGGAGTTTCCGGGAATTCTAGTAATCCTCCGCCGCCCCGGGGCAGGGGGGCGACCATTATATAAAAGACAAGGAGATCCTAGTCGGACAATACGGATTAATTAAGCCCCTGTAGGAGGCCAATCTGGGCTTTACTTGACACGTAATGGAGGAGAACATAATGGAATAGCCAATCAAATAAGAGCTAATAATAATAATGATAATAATAATAATAATATTTAATACTTCTATAGCGCATTGTAACATAGGTATATGATGATATGCGACTTATACAGAACAAAAGTTATGCTGCCTACTGTATTGAAACTATTTGCAGTCAATTGAGTCATCAATAATTTAACATCAATAAAACGGAGTAAGAGAAAAAAAAGGAAATAACAGTGGAAAATAGAGAAACCTTGAAAAAAATAAAAAACAACGTCAACGTAGGCTTCTCTACTAGGGATAGTGGTTCTCTAACAGCTACAGTGATATTGATTTCCTTAAAGGATATTTCTTTGTTGTTTCTTTTTAATATAAAGATATTTCTGTAAGTGAAACTTACAGAAATTCTGTAATTTACACCTCTTAGAGAGACGACAAGCCCCCCGTCTCTTTTGAATGGAAGTCCCCCCGGATCACCCCTAGTCAAATGGCGTCTATACAATTCAGGAATTTGACCACTATGAACTTGTAAATGTAAATAGGACCACAATCTCTAATTTAGATGTTAAGTGACACGCATTTCTAGCAAGTTTAACATGTTCAGAGTTGGGCGGTTAAAAGAGGACAAAATAGCAGCGAAAATGGCGCTGGAAAAACATCGAGTAAGCTATCTATTCTGATCCATTCCCCTCTGATCTATCAACAGTCGACTCTCGATAACTCGAACCTCGCGCTCGAACCAAAATCGATTTCCCCTGGATTTCCGTCACACATTCACTGTAATCTTACCCTCGGTAACTCGAACCCTCGATAACTCGAACTCCCGCTAATTCGAACCAATTTGTTTTTTTTCTATATAATTTTACCATCGATAACTCGAACCATGTTTTGAGCCCTTAAAAAGTCGGGAAAAAAGCCGTACACTGGCGTCCGAAACATTGAATTTTGGATTTCCTATTGACGTGTTGTAGGAGTATAGTTTACTAGTGGAAGCTGATGTTGATTGCCACAGGCTAACGTGAACCAGCTTTCCTTCTCAAAACAGTAAAACGCATGCTCTATTTAGGCTATCTTTTGTTACGTTACGTTCTGATTTATAATCTAGAAGTACCTTTTAATTTTCACTTGACATTTTTACTATTAAAGGGGCTGTGTCACGGTAGTCCAGTTCATTTTGTTTAATTTTGCCAATTACTCGCCTTCGATCGATATGGAACTTAAAGTAAGCAAAGAAATTACATGTAAATAACAGAATCAGAGACCCGAGACAAACAAATATGTCTCCTGAGCATGATTCTTAAAGTTGCAAGCAGCAGGGATCAACTTTGAAAAACTGTTAGGCTGAACAGTTTTCAAAAATCCTAATTTCAATCCGTTTCAATCTTCTTCAGTTTTGCCCATCCGTGACATCTGTTGTTTCTGTTATATTATTTTAACCTTCCTTTAAAGTTTTAAGCGGTTATTTTTATGTTTCTCTTAATTCAACGGGCATTTTGTAATTTCTTAATTTGGCTCAATTTCGTGACACAGCTCCTTTAAATGTGATTAAAATGTTCGCTGTGCAGTGAAAACTGTTTTTTAACTTTATTCTCGGCTATTTTCTTCGACTCCCAATAACTCGAACCTTTTCTCGATTTCCCTTGAAGGTTCGAGTTATCGGGAGTCGACTGTATATCAGATAAAACCGTCGCTTTGTTTGGAATTCGCGATTGAATAACCGTATTGGGAACCCTCTATACTCTCCAGTGGTCATCATTTGTGACCTGGTTGTGAGCTTTTAAATGAGCTTAAATGATGCCTAGTCTTCTATTAGCCATACGCAAAGCGTTGTGTTATTGTACAAATGACGGGCTGTGTAGGACGCTACAGTAATAAATGATTCTTAGCCTGAATTTCAGTCGTCTGTTCGGGTCGCAAACCGATCTCAAGAAAGACGTCGACTCTTTCGGGAGTTTGGGACTCGAGGAGACGGCTGAAAATGCAGAATAAATGATTACGGGATCGCAAATCGCCATCAATAACTTGCGAACTTTAAGATTTTCGAAGGCATTTGACCTGTGTACAGCCGCCCCCTCTCCTCAGAAAAAATCAA